TCTGTCTCCACCCCGACCCCGTCGTAGGGTAAGTCCGTCTGTCTGTCTGTCTGTCTGTCTCCACCCTGACCCCGTCGGAGGGTAAATCCGTCTGTCTGTCTGTCTGTCTCCACCCTGACCCCGTCGGAGGGTAAGTCCGTCTGTCTGTCTGTCTGTCTGTCTCCACCCTGACCCCGTCGGAGGGTAAGTTTGTCTGTCTGTCTCTCTGTCTCCACCCTGACCCCGTCGGAGGGTAAGTCCGTCTGTCTGTCTGTCTGTCTGTCTCCACCCTGACCCCGTCGGAGGGTAAGTTTGTCTGTCTGTCTCTCTGTCTCCACCTTGACCCCGTCGGAGGGTAAGTCCGTCTGTCTGACCCCGCAACCGTCACCCCATCAACGCCCCCCTCGGCGATGCAAGTATGCACGTCTGACTATCTCCACCCGTACCCCGACTTCACACCCGTCCCTCCCCGGCAATGCCCACACAGCAATGCCGATCCAGCGATATGCCTCGTCAACCCACCTGCCCCTGTTGACTCCCCTACCCTGGCGATGCCCACCCAGCAACGCCCCCTGGCGATGCCCCCTGGTGACTCTCCCCTCCCTGGCATTGCCCACATGGCGACGCCCAACGAGCAATGCCTGATGCACATTACAGTCTGCAGTAGTGCAGTGCCGTATAGTGGCTGTACTGGCGGCAGCGTGCAGAGACGCGTCTTGTCCGTAACTCGTTTCCACCGAAACGAGTACCGTAACTTAGGATTTCTCAAAAAAAAACTTAACGTTAAACTGTATTTTTTTTAAACACTAGAAAACTAATGGTTTTCATGAACGTTTGCCAGTCGCAGCGCATTGCGCGTTGTGCGTCTCGTCTGTGACCGTCTTTCGTTCACCTGCCCAGCAATGCCTGATGCATGTTGCAATCTGCAGTAGTACAGTGCTGTACAGTGGCTGTACTGGCGGCAGCGTGCAGAGATGTGTTTCGTCCATGACCGTCGTTTTTGCACGTGCTCGCAGGATGATGTACTGGACAGACTGGAGCGCCAAGCATCCGCGCATCATGAAGGCGTGGCTCGACGGCTCGCACGTCAACAAGGTCGTCGAGGGCACGGGCGTGCACTGGCCGAATGGACTCGCGCTCGACCACGCGACGCAGGTACGCGGCACGGGGGGTAGGGGGCGCTGCGGCAGGGGTAGGGGGCGCCGCAGGGCAGGTACGTGGCGCAGGTGGTAGGGGGCGCTGTAGCGGGGATAGGAGGTGCTGCAACAGTGGGGGGGGTGCGTAGGGCAGGGTTAAGGGGCGCATTGGGTTATGGTCATGCATGAACGACTTGCCTCGTTCGGCTGACCAGCCGGCATTTAACCCTTTGAGTCCCAGAACTATTTGCAAAATTTCCACGAAAATTATTACCAATAGATTTTTAACTATATGTCTTTTATTAATGGGTTTAGACAAACAAAACTATAGATTTTCTTGAAGCTTCTAATCTTCATATCCTATGCAACCAACATATTTTGGCTACCAAAAATCCAATATGCATACGGTGGCCATCTTGGATTTTGGGAAATTTGCATAAATAGTTATGTAATGTTTTCAAAATCCCATGTAATGCATTTCTATTACACAAAAACCATGCAAAATACATCAGAAAACAATGCAAATACATCAGAAAACAATGTTCAATAGAAATAAACACTTTATATACCCGTTACAGCTGTAGTCCTTGCCGGTACACCCAAAATCCAGTCATCGCTAAAGTAATCTCGGATACTAGGAAGTTTATGAATTGCCATAGCTGATGATGTGGATGCCACAGTATCATCATCATCATCATCGTCACTACCTGATTCTGAATTGGGGTTGGCGAATTCGTAATACAGGGATTTCACTATGAGAATCTGAGTCTAATTCACCTTCACTAACATAATCTGTGTCACTTTCACTTTCACTTGGAATATCTGACAACAACCTTAGTGCTTCCTCAGCTGGAAAACGATTTCTCCGGCTCATATTTCAGTCACTTATTTGTCCGAAAATTAAATCTAAATCATCTGAAAACACTTCTTCATGGGCGCAGCCATGTTTAGCGACATTCGCACAAACTGGGACTTGTCTCAGGAGGGTTGCAAATGGCGGCTATAACTTTTTATATTTTCAGCTGTCAAAGTCAGCTGATAAAACAAAACATTGATTATGTCATAATTTTGTCTTACTAATTTTACAAATTATTTGCAATCAAAACACCATGTACTGCCGTAGTTTAATAAAATACGTATTTGCGGGTATTTGCAAAAGCCAAAACAAGGCATAGGGTATCTGTGAACCAAGATATGATGAAATAAAGATCGTGACGTCAGACCGCGCCAAATGGCGCGTTCGGGACTCAAATGGTTAAAAACGATTGTTTAATTGTCTCCGCGATACTTTGAGATTAAATTTAAATACTTTGAAATTCGTTTTTCGTGCGTTAAATTGAAAAAATATAAGCAAATAAAAACTGCAAAGTTTGTGTTGATTAAAAAACTGAAAAATTCGTACACAGTTTTTGCATCTGATATTTTATTTCAAACAATATATTAGTTCAGTGTTATAATACATTTATATACGTA